CATTCTCTTTGAAACAAACATATTACATGCATGTATATATGTATGTGTGTACAGACAGACAGATATAGACAGCATGTATGTGTGTGTATATCAATATACAAGCATATATGTATTCTAAACAGTATGTTCTATGCTGATAAATTTCCATTTCAGTTTGGTACTACTTTCATCAAATTCATTTGATGCTGACGTACAAGTCTGTCTCCCTCTCTAAATTCAATGCTCCTTGCAAACATGAATTATACCTTTCATATTTCAGTGTTGCCAAGGACCAGAGCACAGACAAATTTGTTAAATGTACACAACCCTCCAAAACTCAGTAAGGAACTGGGCTGCATTTTAGGGTGTCTGATTCTATTTCAGGGGTCCCAAACCCATGGGTGCAGTCCACAACTCCCACAGAACCTACCAAACATCAGAATTTGCCTTGCCTTTCCTGAAATAGGTCAGCATTGGATGGTAAGTGCTGTCTGTGTTTCCCAAAGGGAAAGAGGAATAAGCACAGTGTTCCCTATTGTTGTGGAGCTGCCTCACGAAGTACACCAAGGCCCACCAGTAACAATGACAAACAAGCATTGGCACTGCTTTTCCAGGATCTTGTGCGATTCTGTAGCAGTCTCCACACTGACCATGCAAGAAGGGGAAGTAATCGTAGCAGCAGCCCCTGCATTTGAGCAGCTCTGGCCAAAACTCTCAGCTTACGCTGGGACATAACACTAATAAAGACATCCCAGTTTCAACTGGAAAGACCTAGAACTGTTATTTTTCAGCAAGGCAAGTTTATTTACTCCCACAGGAGATAAACAAACATGGCCACCAGGGAGAGCCTGGGACAAAATGTACTCGACCTGCAATAGATAAACCAAAAGCCGAGAGGCACAGCAAGCTAAATTCTCTGCTCCTCCGAGCTCAAGTCATTGTACATTATCTTTCAGCGGAAGGAAAGCCAACGTAAAGGATGTACCATATGTTGAAGGAACTTGGAGATACAGCCAGTTTTTCCAGCTAAACAAGGCAGAGCAGGGCAGACAAGCAATCTCAAAGTCTAAATTCAGTACTACCACCGCTAAATTACCTGGGGGAAGGCATTTAACTGCTCAATGCATCCTTTTCCCACCTATGATGTTGACAGGTATCAGGACACTGCATATACTGCCATTTCAATTACTGAATGCATATAAATCTAAACCCTAAACACATGAATCAAAAGAATTATTTTGATAATTAAGCAAAACAAAATTCAGAAGAATACTTGTCATGCAGAAGTCAGCTCATATGATCACTTCCCCAGAGACTTTTCCTAAATCTCTTAGCAAAACTAACCATATTCTTCCCATTGCTGGTTTTTTTCCCTCCTAGCAGTTACTAATACCTGAACTGTCATATTTATGCATATGTTTGTCTATTCTCTCTCTCTCAGTCATAAGAATAGCAATCTTTGCCCATCTTACTGCTTTATCCTGCCAGGTTCAGTAACTACTTGTTGAATGAATGAATACCGAGGTTAAAAATAATTTGAAAAAGAAGAAAAAAGTTGGAAGACTAACACTATCTGATTTCAAGACTTTTATAAAGCTACAGTAATCAGAGCCAGCACTGATCATCTAGCGGTTAAAGTTTGGCACTCACTGCTTCGGCAGCCAGGGTTCACTTCCCAGTCGCAGAACCACACCACCCATCTGTCAGTTGCCATGCTGTGGCAGTGGCTCACAAAGATGAACTAGAACAACTTACAACTAGGATATACAACCATGCACTGGGGCTTTGGGGAGGAAAAGAAAAAAGCTACAATAATCCAGACCATGTGGTAATTGGCATAAAGATAGACAAATAGATCAAAGGAACAGAATGGAGTCCAGAAATAAGATTCATATATAAACGGACAACTGATTTTTAACAAAGGTGAAAGTTCAATAGAAATGGACAGTCTTTTCAACAAGTGGTGCTGGAATAACTGTATATCCATATGCAAAAAAGAGAACATGTATCCACACCTTATACCATATACGAAAGTTAACTCAAAATGGATCATAAACCTATAACTACAAAACCTGGAAAAAACACTTGAGACTTTGGGTTAAGCAAAAATTTCTCAGAAATGACACCAAAAGCATGATCCATTAAAAAAAAAATTGATAAACTGGACTTCATCAAAATTTAAAACCTCCATTCTTCAAAAGAGACTGTGAAAAAAAATGAAAAGACAAGCTATAGACCAAGGGAAAATATTTGCAATTCTGATAAAGGTCTTGTATCCAGAATAAAGAACCCTCAAATCTCAATAAGAAACAAACAACTAAACAAAAAAGGAGGAAAATATTTGATCAAATAGACATGTCACCAAAGAAGATATACAGATGGAACATAAGCATGTGAAAAAATAATCAACATTATTAGTTACTAGGCAAAACACAAATTAAAACTATAATGAGATACCATGTCATACCCACTAAAATGGCTAAAATTTAAAAACTGACCATACCAAGTGTCAGCAAGGATGTGGAGGAACTGTAACTCTCATATACTGCTGGTGGGAATGAACATGGTGTAACCACTTTGGAAAACAGCTTGGCAATTTCTGAAAAAGTTAAATATACATCTAACATATGATCCAGCCATACCACTGACAGGTGTTTACCAAAGAGAAATGAAAGTGTTATGTCCATACAAACACTTGTACATGAACATTCAGAACAGCTTTATCTGTGATAGCCAAACTCTGGAAACAACCCAAACGGCCATGAACAGGTAGATGGATAACGTGTGGTACATCCATACAATGGAATATTACTAAGCAATAAAAAGTAATGAGCTATTTGACACCCACTACAACATGAATGAATCTCAACATAATTATGCTGAGCATAAGAAGCCAGACATAAAATTCCATTTATATAAAATTCTAGCAAATACAAACTAATGCATAGTAACAAAAAGCAGAACAGCTGTTGCCTCACAACCAGGAAGAAATTATAAAGGACACAAGGAAACATCACAAGCAGTGATGGATATGTTCATTATCTTGATTGTGGCGACGGTATCACGAGTGTATACACGTGTCAAAACTTATCAAATTGTGCACTTAAATATATGCAACTTATGACATGTCATTTATGCCTCATAAAGCTGGTTAAAAAATAATACAAAAGACCTACGATCTGAAAAGTAATAATAAATAATCCCCAATTGTGTGTGTTACATTCATAATCTGAGGGTAGCACACATTTCTTTTCTATAATAGGTGAGTAAGAAACACCGAGGCTGGAGGGGAGGAGAAATTACTCCATTTCAAGCTGTCATCTTTACCACTTGCTGCTTTGGCTATATCCACACTTCCCGGCTGATGAACTCACAAGCTGGACAATGTAGGGTCTATTACCACCCGGTGCCTTCCCCAGCCAGCCCCGAGTCTTTCTGTCCCCTAAAGAGGCAGACCCTCACTTGTCTGGAAGAGCAGACACAAGGAACAAAAGGCTCAATGACTATTTGACAGACTAAAGAATAGACAACTGTTTTATTTAAAAGCTCCTTAAAGAATTAGAACATTTGAGGCTATATACTGTTCTGCTGAAATGCAGTTATACATTACTCAGATCCTTAAGCATTTGCCAACAGACCTGTCCCAGTCACTCACTTCCTAAGGATTTTCAGTTTTCTTTTTTCTCCCTCTTTTCAATCCAGACCCATGAATGAATAATGTGCAGGTGTATTTTGAGAAGACATTCCTAATATTTTGAAAAAGTCTCTCATTCAAATAACCCCAATAGCTTGAAATAGTTTTTCAAATGTCTAATATAGAGACCATAACAGGACAACTAAGGAAAAGATTAAACAGTGGGTCTTCTGTGTGAATGGTATATAAAGAGTAGGACACAAAACAGCAGGATCATTACCTGAAAACAATACATCACACTACTGTTTAACAAGAAAATTAAGGCCCACAAATGATAAGCAATAGTTATAAAATAATAATAGCAATATGGTGATGGACAGTGGGGATTCTGGCTCCACCACTTGTTGGCTGAGTGACCCTAGGCAAGTTGCCTAACTTCTGAAACTCAGTTTACGCATCTTTAGAACGAGGAAATTAGCACCGACCTCATATCGTTCTTGTGAGGATTAAATATGTTTGGCTTACAGTAAGAGCTAAAAAAGTGTCAGCTATTAGCGGTATCATTACCCTGAACATTCAAAGGAACTCATTAATTCACTAATCCTTCTGACTCTTAAGGTTCAAGTCCTGTCATTTACTAGCATGTTCCTTCGGAGCCTCAGTTTCCACATCCGTAGAACGGGGGTAATTAATGTCACCTGACTTTTACGGTTGTGGTGAAGAATTAAATAACTAGAGATAGAGTTCCCTTCTTTCTCATCTCTCAAAGCGAGCACTGCAGAGGAAGGAAATACTTCTAATAGCTGCAGATACAGTCAGTTTTTCCATTTCTGGCACGTGAGGGGTGGGGGGGAAGGAGATGCAAAGAGGCATAGAAAGAGGTCAGGGATCCTGAGCGGAGCCCCCAAAAGCGCGCGAGAAGAGAGCGACCCCCGAGCAGCAAAACCGTCGGGGACCGGGCCCCGCGCCACTCCCTCCCTTTCCCTCCCGCGTCCCGGGCCGAGGAGCCTCCCCAAGCGAGCGGGGTTATTTCGGAATCACCATGAGGCAATTCTCATGAGGCAATGGGTCAGGAATGCGGCGCCGAGCCGGGCCGCTGGCGTCCGCCGTTCCCGCGGCGGCTCTACCTGCCCCCGTCCCGACGGGCATCCCCCGGGCTGCGGGAGCCGGAACTCGGGGAGGCAGGAAATGAATGGGAACCCGAGGGGTGGGGGCGCCGTGGCGCCAGGCCCCCGGCCCGGGAGGGCGAGGATGTGGGGAGCGGGCCTGCCCCGCTGCCTCCAGGCGGGGTCCGAGGCCCGGCCGGGGCGCCCCCTCCCGGGCGGGGCTGACCGAAGGCGGCGGGGGTCGGGCCGAGGCCCGGGCCGGGCCCCTCGGGGCTCCTCACCTCCGCGATGTCATGTTCCTCCCGCCCTCCGGCTCCGCGACGGACCCGCTCCTTGCTCAGGCTCCGCTGGGCCCCGTCACATCGGGCTGGCCCGAGGGAGGCCCGCTCGGGACCGGACGAGGGGCAGAGCCAGCCGGCCGCGCGCAGACCCCCCTCCAGGCCTGGGGATCCCGGAGACTGTGCAGCCGCCCCCCGAGTCCGGTTCGCTCCTCCTCCTCCCCCGCCCTTCGCCGCCGGCGCCACCGTGACGTCACCCTGCGCGACGCCCGCCGCCACTTCCTGCTTCCAGTCCGCCGGGGACTGAGCGGCGGCTGGTACCGGCCGTTCGGTGGCTCGGAGGAGCCGCTGCCGCGCAGTTGCCGAAGCACCCTCGACGTCCTCCTTTAGACCTTGGCTGCAGGGCGTGCGCTGCGCGCTGGGTGTTGTATGCGACCCCGGGAACCCATACATCGGCTTCCACGGTGTCAGTTTCCATCCCTGGCTGCCAAACTGAATTTCATTCATTTCCTTCCACAGCTCGCCGCTCTGCTTACTAGCTGTGCAACCTTGGGAAAGTTGCTTAATTTCTCTGAGCCTCAGTTTCATCCATTCCTCCATTTGTGTAAAATGAATATAGTAGTTGTATTGTCTTCAAAGGATTATTCTGGGTATTAAATATATAAAATACTTAGAACTAGGCCTGGCCTATTTAGTAAGTGCTTTGTAATTGTTTCGCTGTATTTTCATTACAATTAAGCATCTGTTGATTGTTTTCTATCTGCCAGGCACTGTTTTAGATTAAGACAAAAATGCCTGTGTTCTAGAGGGAGGAGCTACAGTAATCAAGATAAGTAAAATACTCAAGACAATAGTCTTATCCTCCTTTCTTATGTTTTCTCTATAGCCCTTTATGTTATCACTTTCAATAGGGTAGTTAGAGGAGGCTTCACTGAGGATAACATTTGAGTAAAGATCTGATGCTGGAGCAATCAGTGGGAATAACTCAGGGGAATAGCATTTCAAGCACAGGGAGAGGTAAGTGCAAGGGCCCTGAGGCAAAAGGCTGCCTCCTGTACTATTTGAAGAACAGTGAAGAGATCTCTGGCTGGAGCACAGTAGGAGGTGGGAAAGGCAAAGGGAGGGTAGTAGAAGATGAAGTGAGGAAGGGATAGAGATGGTGTAGAATCCTATAGACTATTTAAACGAATGGTAAAATGGAAAGCCATTGAAAGATTTTCAGCAGAGGAGAAATATAATCTATGTTTTAAAATTATTACTTTAGATACTCTGTGAGGAATCAGATCAAGGGGGCAAGGCTGGAAACAGAGAAACCAGTTCGGAATACTAGAATTCTGTAATATGCCAGACTGGACATGATGGTGGCTCAGAGCACAGTGAGAAGGTAGAGTTTTTACCTGATGAAGGCCCGTGTGACTCATTAAAGGCTGCAGATCTAGTAAGCGGCAAAGCCAGAATTGGAACCCACATCTCTGTAGCTCCAAAATCCTCGTTTTTTTCTTCCCAATGCTCCCCAACTCACTTCTATACAAAGGACTCTCATACAGTGCGCTGCTTTAGCCTTGTTACAAAAAAATCCTTACGAAAATTATCTTTAATATATGCCAGTTTAATTTAGGTCATGGGCATTCAACAAGCAGTTGCCCAGCCTGTTTCTTTCCACTCTCCCTAAATCCTGGCCACTTGGATGACTCAAACGAATCCTAACTGATTTTAGCCTGCAGGCTTGCCCTTTCCAATCCATTCTCCACTTAAGAACCAGAGTAATCTAGAATGCACAACTAGTCACTCCCTACAGTGAATATACTTCAATGACTTCTCATTGCTTTTAGGATGAAGTTAAAAAACTTTTTAACAGCCACCTGGTCTGGTTCCTGCTCGTTTCACCAGCCCCTTCTCTCCCGACACTCTATGACCCAGCTCTGCTGAATGACGCAGTTCCCCTCAATGTGCCATGCTCTCTCCCAGCTCAGGGTCTGTAAACAATCTTCTCCCTCTCCCTGGAGGGTTCTTTCTGATCCCCCCTCGTAGTGAACTCTAGTCTATGACTCAGATCTCAAACTAGAAGTCATCTTCTCTGGGATAGGAAGATTTATCTCATTCTCCCAGTCTAGGTTAGACGGTCTCCAAGACACCTATCCTCGCTTGGAACTGAACATACTTCATTATAAATCTAAAAAATAAAATAAATCTAACACACAGTATCATATGGGAATTAAATTCTTCATCTCCAAAGCTCAGCCTGCCTGCCTGAGTCTCCTTAGGTAAGTTACTTGACTCCTCTGTGTCTCAATTTCCTTCTCTGTGAAATGGAGGGATCAAAATACTACCTACCACATAGGGGAGGTTGTGAAGAATAAAAGGGTTAATGTTTGTGAAGGATTTAGAACAGTGCCTAGCAAAGTAAGCACTTGGTAAGTGCTGGTTATCACTTGTCTCTTTTCCAAAGTAAACTCTAAGCTCTTTGAATACAGAAACTGAAGCAAGGTACCTGAGGGTTACTGTAGATATTCAATAAGAACGTGTTGCCTTTTGACCTCTGTCCCAACACAGGTGTAGATGAATCTTGTCAGTTTGCTGTTTCCTTGTTTAACTCAGGGATGACTCGGGTCTCAAGGATTTGTGAGTTTGTTTTGCAGAAGAAAGAGAATGCCTTTGGGGAGGTTGCAATCGCTGGATGACCAGCCCCAGCGGTTGCAGATTGCCCAGGGGATTATCAGGTTTGTTTCTCCAAAGCTCATCCTACCAAGCCCCTTGGCTCTATAAACCCCCCCTCTTTTTCTCTGGTTAAGGCGGATTTGAGTGAACCCATCCTCCCACCTTCTGTCTTGGCCGACTCGAATGGGCCTTTCTCCATCTCCAAGCACCGATGTCTTAGTGTTTGGCTAGCTGCACATCCAGCAGACGAATTTGAGATTAAGAGGTTCAGTATCAAAACCATTGCTTCCCCAGTCTTTCCTACATTCTGTACGCTCTGCAGCTAGAATGATGTTTCTAGAATACAAATCTAATCATGCCATCCTCCTGTTCTATGAGGGAGGTTCAAAGCCTTTGACACTAAATGAAAATCCTTCCATTGGCACCTCAGACCCTTCTAAATATGAACCATGACTATCTGTTCAGCTTCACTCACCCCCCGTTCCCTCACATAATCTGGCAGTTTCCAAAATCCTCTTGCTGTTTCTTGCATCCCTGTATTCCAAAATCTAGTTCCTTCTGTCTGAAATACCCTTTAAACTCGTCTCCATCCGGAAAACTAAGTGTCAAGCAAGATACACCTCCAACTCAGTCAGCTCCTCCAGGAAACATTCTCTGCACACACCCCTGGGCCAGTTCCTGAGAATAAAACAGAGACCTCCTCCCTATGCTTTGGGGCTGCCTGTTCGTGCCTCTGTCCGCCCCCAGCACAGTTCAACATCGTTGTTGATCGACTGTTCTGCCTCTTCCCTTAGATTATGAGCTCCTCTTAAAAGAAAGTCATTATCTTCCTCATCTTTATATGCCGAGAGCCTAGCACAGTGCCTGGCATAGAATAAGCTTAAGGATATTCATCTAGACATACTTTATTCTAATTTCTTTCTCAAGTACAAAATACAAGTTCCTTGCAACAGGCTGAATCAAAACAGGAATTTTCCCTGGTCCTCAGTGTATACATCTTCTCTACCCCAGCCCCCACCACTGTTAATGGTTTAGTGTGTATCCTTCCGCACTTTTTTGTATACGTATACAAACACACACCCACATCCTACACCCACTCACTCACATACATAACATACAGAGGGATTTTTTTCTATTTTATTTTTTAAATGTGTTATTAATATGTGTATATATATTAATATGTGTATATATATTAATATGTGTATATATGTGTGTATATATATTAATATGTGTATATATATTAATATGTGTATATATGTGTGTATATATATTAATATGTGTATATGGGTTCATAATGTGTCTATTATATTATACGTATGTGTGTATGTATATATATATATACACACACATATATATAATCACAAAGATATATAGATACATATCTTTGTGACTGAACTTTTTCTCTTAATATATAATGGACATCCCTCAGGACTAGCACTGATTGTCCAAGACAGACATAATGTGAACCATATATGTGACTTTAAAGATTCTAGTGTTCACACTTAAAAAAGTAAAACAGGGGAAGTCAGTATGAATAATATGTTTAACCCAATATATCAAAATATTATCATTCAACATGTAATCAATACATATAAAAAATTATTGAGAGCCAGCCCTGATGGCCTAGTAGTTACAGTTCAGAGCTTTCGCTGCCTCGGCGGCCTGGGTTTGGTTCCCAGGCACAGAACCACACCACTCGTCTGTCAGTAGCCATGCAGTGGCACTGGCTCACATAGAAGAGCTAGAAGGACCTACAACGGTAATGTACAATTATGTACGGAGGCTTTGGGGAGAAGAAAAAAGAGAGGAAGATTGGCAACACATGTTAGCTCAGGGTGAATCTCTCCCAGCAAAAAAAAAAATTATTAATGAGATATCTTACAATTCTTTTTTTTTCTTATTGTCTTTGAAGTCCAGTGTATATTTTACACTTACAGCATATTGGTGTGAGCTGGCTACATTTCCAGTGCTCTACAGCCACATTTGGCTAATGCTACTGTGCTGGACAGCACACTTAGATGTAAGCCATTCTCTTCGATAGCTCCATAATATTCTATAGAATGGATATACATTTTCTTAGTCAATTCCTGTGTTGGACATTCAGATTATTTCCGGGGTGGTTTTTTTTTTTACATTAAAAATAGTGTTTCCATGTACTTTCTTACAAGAGAATTATTGAATGAATGAGTGAATCACTATGTTGACCTTAACATTAACACTTAGGGAGGTATTATCAATATTGTCAATATCACCAAAGCTATCCTGAGAAAAAAGAACAAAGCTGGAGGTATCACAAGCTCTCTCTTCAAAATATACTACAAAGCTATGGTAATCAAAACAGTGTGGTACTGACAGAAAAACAAACACAGAGATCAATAGAAAAGAACTGAAAGCCCAGAAATAAAACCACATGCCTATGGACAGCTAATCTTCAACAAAGGAGCCAAGAACATACAAAGGAGAAAGGAAAGCCTTTTTTTTTTTTTTTAAGATTTTATTTTTTTCCTTTTTCTCCCCAAAGCCCCCCGGTACATAGTTGTATATTCTTTGTTGTGGGTCCTTCTCGTTGTGGCATGTGGGACGCTGCCTCAGCGTGGTTTGATGAGCAGTGCCATGTCCACGCCCAGGACTTGAACCAACGAAACACTGGGCCGTCTGCAGTGGAGCACAGAAACTTAACCACTCGGCCACGGGGCCAGCCCTGGAAAGCCTCTTCAATAAATGCTGTTGGGAAAACTTGACAGCCACGTGCAAAAGAAAGAAAGTAGACCATTATCTTACACCATACCCCCACATTAATTCAAAATGGATTAATAACTTGAATGTATGGCACCAGCCCTGTGGCTGAGTGGTTAAGTTCACATGCTCCACTTCAGCAGCCCAGGGTTTTGCCAGTTCAGATCCTGCGTGCGGACATGGCACTGCTTATCAAGCCAGGGGGCTTTGGGGAGAAAAAGGAAAAATAAAATCTTTAAAAAAAAAAAAAAACTTGAATGTAAGACCTGAAACCATAAAACTCCTAGAAGAAAATATAGGCAGTACACTCTTTGACATGGGTCTTAGCAGTATCTTTTTGAATACCATGTCTACTCAGGCAAGGGAAACAAAAAATAAACAAATGGGACTACATCAGACTAAGAAGTTTCTGCAAGGGAACGGAAACCATCAACAAAGTGAAAAAACAACCCACAAACAGGGAGAAAATATTTGCAAATCACAGATCCAACAAGGGGTTAATTTCTAAAAATACATAAAGAACTCATACAATTCAACAACAACAAAAAAAAACACTTGAACAGAGATTTTTCCAAAGAAGATATGCAGGTGGCCAACAGGCACATGAAAAGATGTTCAGCATCACTAATTATTAGGGAAATGCAAATCAAGACTACAATGAGATATCACCTTACACCTGTCAGAATGGCTATAATTAATGACACAAAAAAATAACAAATGTTGGAGAAGATGCAGGGGAAATTGAACCCTCATACACTGCTGGTGGGAATGCAAACTGGTGCAACAACTACAGAAAACAGTATGAAGATGTCTCAAAAAATTAAAAATAGGGGCCAGCCCCGTGGCCGAGTGGTTAAGTTCACGCACTCCGCTTCAGTGGCCCAGGGTTTCACCAGATCGGATCCTGGGTGCAGACATGGCACCGCTCATCAAGCCATGCTGAGGCGGCATCCCACATAGCACAACCAGAAGGACCTACAACTAGAATGTACAGCTATGTACTGGGGGGCTTTGGGGAGAAGAAGAAGAAGAAGAAGAAGAAGAAAAGATTGGCAATGGATGTTAGCTCAGGTGCCAAACTTTAAAAAAAAATTAAAAATAGAAACACCATATGATCCAGCTATCCTACTACTGGGCGTTCATCCAAAGAACATGAAATCAATAATTCAAAGAGGGGGCCGGCCAGGTGGCGCAGCGGTTAAGTGCACACATTCCCCTTCAGCGGCCTGGGGTTCGCCGGTTCAGATCCTGGGTGCGGACATGGCACCACTTCACAAGCCATGCCATGGTAGGCGTCCCACATATAAAGTGGAGGAAGATGGGCACGGATGTTAGCACAGGGCCTGCCTTCCTCAGCAAAAAGAGGAGGATTGGTGGCAGATGTTAGCTCAGGGCTGATCTTCCTCAAAAAAAAAAATAATAATAATAATTCAAAGGGATGTATGAATCCCTATGTTCATTGCAGCATTATTCACGTTAGTCAAGAGGTGGAAGCAACCCAAATGCCCGTCAACAATGAATGGGTGAAGAAGATGTGGTATATATATATATACAATGGAATACTACTCAGCGATTAAAAAAAAAATCATGCCATTTGCAACAACATGAATGGACCTTGAGGGTATTAGGTTAAGTGAGGTAAGCCAGACAGAGAAAGACAAATACCGTATGATTTCACTCATATGTGAAAGATAAAGAAACACATGGATAAGGAGAACAGATCAGTGGTTACCAGGGGGGAAGGGAGTGAGGAGAAGGGCGAAAGGGGTAAAGGGGCACATGTGTATGGTGACAGATAAAAACTAGACTATTGGTGGGGCTGGCCCGGTGGCGCAGCGGTTAAGTGCGCATGTTCCGCTTCTCGGCGGCCCAGGGTTCGCTGGTTCGGATCCCGGGTGCGGACATGGCACTGCTTGGCAGCCATGCTGTGGTCGGCGTCCCACATATAAACTAGAGGAAGATGGGCACGGATGTTAGCTCAGAGCCAGGCTTCCTCAGCAAAAAGAGGAGGACTGGCAGTAGTTAGCTGAGGGCTAATCTTCCTCAAAAACAAAAACAACAACAACAGGGGCTGGCCCCGTGGCCGAGTGGTTAAGTTCGCGCTCTCCGCTGCAGGCGGCCCAGTGTTTCGTTGGTTCGAATCCTGGGCGCGGACATGGCACTGCTCATCAGACCAAGCTGAGGCAGCGTCCCACATGCCACAACTAGAAGAACCCACAACGAAGAATACACAACTATGTACCGGGGGGCTTTGGAGAGAAAAAGGAAAAAATAAAAAAATCTTAAAAACAACAACAACAACAAAAAGAACTAGACTATTGGTGATGAACATGATGCGGTCTATACAGAAACTGATATGTACTAACGTACACCTGAAATTACACAATATTATAAGCCAATATGACCTCAATAAAATAACTAAATTAAAAGAATTGTGAAAAAAATATTGTCAATGTCATTCCCATTTTATAAATAAGAAACTCATGTGCAGAGGCTTATCACAAGATCACATAGCAAGTGATCCCCAGACTGCAAGGGCAGTAACCTTTCTGTAGCACAACTTCCTGCTGGCTTTCTTTCTGTGGCACAGAGAGGTATGATTCAATGTAAGTGTATGTGTGACCTTGGATACGTCCTTTATTATGATCGAATTTCAGTTCTTTTATCTTAAATTCCTATTCACAGGGAGGTTGTCCTGAGGCTTAAAATGATTTAGTATCTGCAAAAATATCTGCTTTGTAATGAATAAAGCACTGCACCAATTCAAGAGCATTTTATAGATGGCAAGACCAGGAGCTTCACAATAACGTTTACTTGACAACTAATATATTGATGATGCTTTGCCCAAGCAATGAACAGCAAGTTTTGCAATACCACAACAAAACACAAGAGGGGGTTGATTTACGTTTTTATTGCAATGGCAGGTCATTTAACAAATATTTTGGGGCATTTACTAGGTGAAAGTCTCTGAAATTCTAATTTTGAGAGGCTTAGGTAAGCAACTCTGCTCTTTATTCATTCTGACACATTTTCTGAAGTAGCAGTTTCTAAGAGGTGTTTTTCTCAGGAAGCTGAACAAATAAAGCTGCTGACATTTCCATTCCTTTTTTTTTTTTTTTTTAAAAAAGCAGTGCCCAAGCTTCTCCTTGAGAATATTACATGCCTGGACAGTGAATAATCATAAACTGGCATAAAGTGCAGCCTATTAGGATCACACTCATCCTTAATTTGTATGGAAGGCAGACACTTTAGAAACTACATGTTTCAGCAGGTATAGCAACTCTGAACCCACGGTAGTCTGAAGGGTTCCACTGAAATCTCTGAGGCCTTCAGAGGCATCTGATCACTATTTTTGTATCTTCACTCAACCAGAACCAGGAAAAGGCTACATGATTCTCAAGGACACAGCCACAAAACAGCTGGTTTGGATCTGAAGAAAATCGAGGTGAAAAGTTCTAGGTACCAACAACAAGCAAGTGGAAGAGAATGGAAAACTCAAGCCAAGGTGTCACGATGTGTACATGTTGCCATAAGGGCTTCGGTGCAGTAAAAAATTATGATACACTGTTTTGTTTATTTTGCAAAAGATAATAACTATTCTTACTTTTAATTCTAATATGAGCAAAGAACTCTCTTATCTTTTTTAGTCATCTCTTTAATCTTTACAGGCTGGAGCTTAACAGTGTAATCTTTGAAATCAGATCATGTTATGAACAAATTTCTTAACTCTTTGAGCCCCAGCTTCCTCATAATAGTATCCTTCATAGGTTGTTGAGAGAATTAAATGAGATAAAGCAAAGCACATAGCACATTTCTAGACACACAGCATACAATATTGTTCTTATTATCCCTGATGCATAAACTTTAGCAGAATACCTGGTACATAGTAGGATGTCGTCAACAACGACTATGCTGACATGATGCTGGTGACGGTTGTGGTGGTGATGGTAAAAAGAACTAACATTTATCTAGCTCTTACCATGCATCAAATATTGTTCTTAGTGATTTTGTGTATGTTAATTTGTTTAATCTTCCCAACAACTCTATGAGGTAGGTACTATTGTTATGCTCATTTTAGAAATTAAGAAATGGAGTACAAAGTGGCCAGAATTGGTTGTAGAGGGATGAACAATCATGTTCTTATATGCCTCCATGCCTCTTATAATTAGTGTTCCAATTGCCACATTCATCTTTCAAGTTTGTATTTATTCTTTCAAATCCAACACAAAACCAACTCTTCCACAAAACTTCACTAAATCTCCCGGAAGAAGTAATCCATAATTATTCATTTTCTCTCTTTTTTTTCCCTTTAATGTGTGTTTTTCGAGAGCAGGAATATACGTTACTCATTTTAAATTCTGCCCTTTCTGACCCTCTGCCATTGAGCAGAGTCTACAGCATGATTAGAGGATACAGGCATTAAACTCACTGTGCCTTTTGGAGGAAAGATTTCACATTACTTGGGATTAGGTCCTTCATCTAGCTATCCTTTCTTATGTTGAAAAGGTAGGGCTTTCTAACGTCCTTAGTAAGCAAAATAAAAACTTACAACTTCATGTCCGTTACCAAAAGTACTTTGAAAATTTTATTGGTCTATAAAATGAAACATTTTCAGACAAAGTGTTCTTCACTTTCACTCTTATTAGGAAAAATAGCTACCAGCACTTGCAAAAGAGGGAAAACTACACTTCCCATGATGCCCCGGATCCGGAAGGAAGTGAGACTCCACCCTTCCCGTGATGGCTTATAGACCGGAAGCCGGGGCCTTAGTTCTCTTTCCCATCTTGCAAGGTAAGAATGGCGGTGCCTTTCTGCAAGACTCGATTTCAGCACCCCAATCTTTCGCCATCCGAACCAGGAGGGTTTCAAGTCGACATCTGCTGGGGTCGCACATGCTCGGGGCCAGCTGAGAGGCATCCCAGACGCTTCATTTCTCTCGCTTGGGTTTGCGGTGGGGCACGAAGAGGGTGAGGTGGAATGCCGAAGAGGCTCCGGGGCTCCTGCAGCTCGCCACCCTCCCGGGCTGGAGGAACGGGGCCCCTCCGGGGATCCGTAGCGGGTTAGTGGGGCCGCAGGGGTCACGGCGCCGGCGCGCACTCCGGCCGGCGCCGGGGGCCAGAGACGCCCCTGTGCTTGTCTGAGCCACGTTGGGATGTGGGGCTGCGGCCAGATGCCGCTTTCCCGACCGGAAGTCGTCTTTTGGGCATTGAGTCGGGGCTGAGTGTGAGCTGTGTGTGTGTGTGTGTCCTCTCCGGAGCCGCGTTTGTGGAATGAGACGGTGGTCTGAAAAGAGCAAAAGCCCGGGAAGCAAACGGTTTCAGGTTCCAGCCTCGCTGCTTCCTGGCTGCAGATTTCCTCGGCTCTGAGATTTCTAATTCGCGAAACAGGAATGATGAAATAGGGACTGTGACTACTAAATACTTAGCGGACACCACACAGGGTTAAGATATTTTCAGAGATTCAAAAAGCTCATCGTGTATGGAGACAACCTCAAAATTCATTGTGAGCGTTCAACTGTGGATGTGTGGGGTTTTGGAGGAAGACTTACCGTAGGGAGGAGGGGTGAGAAGGATGTTACAGCTTTGGAGAGGGAGGTTGAGGGCCTGCCTGGGAAGCCTTTAGTGTGCAGTGTAGCTCCTACCTTGTGGGATAATTGGTGGAATGTCTTTTTTTTTTAATGTATGTATTGGTAGATGGCGGGTGAAAAAGCCGAGAAGCCGGGTACCAAGGAGAAGAAACCTGCAGCCAAGAAGGCTGATGCTGGTGGCAAGGTTAAGAAGGCTAACGTCAAGGCCAAGAAGGCTAATGTCAAGGCTAAGAAGGCTAACGTCAAGGCCAAGACGCCTAAGAAGGGAAAGCCCCACTGCAGCCGAAACCCTGTCCTAGTCAGAGGAATTGGCAGATATTCCCGATCCGCCATGTATTCCAGGAAGGCCATGTACAAGAGGAAGTACTCAGCGGCTAAATCCAGGGTAAGGGATGAGGGGGGCCGCTAACCATTATGTCTTACCCTTAAAATTTCTGTCTGCCTCTGACTTTTTGACGCATTTATGTCCTGATAGATCGAAAGGAAAAAGAAGGAGAAGGTCCTTGCTACTGTCACAAAACCAGTTGGTGGTGACAAGAACGGTGGTACCCGAGTGGTTAAACTTCGCAAAATGGTAAGATTTGGAGGAGACTGTAAATTGGATGTTTAGTTGAAACTTGAATCCTGGGGATTATTTCGTGTACTCAGGTTTTAGAAGTTTGTTGACCGGACAGTTCCTGGTGGAAGATGAAGGGTTCTGATTTGCCACTTGGCTTTCACATCTACTGTTAGATCTCAAGCAGAGTTACTCTTCGGTGCTTTAGTTTCTTCAGCTGTCAAACAGGAATCAGTCTGGTTCTTGGGGTTTTTGTGAGAGTGAAATGCAATAATGCATAGAGCCTCGGATGCTGCCAGGCCTGTAGAACATGCATCCACTAGAGCAGTGATCACTATTAATGTTTGTGATGAAAGCAAGACTGTCTGCTAAAATGATAACAGCGTGGTTAGAAATATGTTACTGTGAGTTGTCATATTCTTAATAGTCCGTGCGTGGGGTCTTATTTTTACAGTCAGTGAACTGGCAATCCTGATGTAAACTGACGTCTGTGTTTTTGTACAGTACGTTTTCCTTTGTGGATAAAATGGGAGTAATGTGTGTTAATATGAAGGATATGAACATGCTTAATTTGAACTGGAAAACAAGCCAGGCCTCCTCCATAATATGCAAGATGTGTTTCAGACATAGGGTTTTCTGGAGAAGTAGAATTTACATTAGAGATTGGGGACCCCAGAAAAGCTTGAGAATCACTGCTACCTGACAGTGTGTAGTGATAGCTTGCCATGTAATCTCTAAAATTTGGTGTTATCCCAAATTTACAAAGGAAGCTTGTTTGGTGCCTTCCATCTTTGCTTGAACACACAGCAATTCAATCCTTCAAATGAATGGATTCCATCCTCTGATTTGCATGTGAAGGATAAGCAGCAATGTGAATCTTCAGGAGAAATGAAAATTCAATTGTGTAAATAAAGCATTTCAAATAAGTAAAAAGGCTGCGGTAAAGGTACCACCAGCATGGCCAGCTCTACTGATCTGATTAACTTATTTAAATAAATTGGACCTATGGACTCTCTCCAGCCTAGATATTATCCTACTGAAGATGTGCCTCGAAAGCTTTTGAGTCACGGCAAAAAACCCTTCAGTCAGCATGTGAGGAAACTGCGAGCCAGCATCACGCCTGGGACCATTCTGATCATCCTCACTGGGCGCCACAGAGGCAAGGTGAGCAGAACACTTCAGCCTGCGGAGCTTCCCTTGAAGTGTCTGAAGTGTTGGGTCGTGATGTGTTTGCCCTCTGGGTAGGATTTCTTTTACTGTTAACTGCCGTGGGGGTGGGGGAAGATGACCCCTAACAGCACCCACAACTCAGTTGTTAGCATAACATGTTTAGTCCATAATATATAATAATTTACCATTTCCTGCTGTTGGTGATATTACTTGTAGCTGGTTCATATACCCCTGTACCCACAAATAGTGATATATTTGAGTTACTTTCTTAGGATAGATGTGCACAGATGGAAATATTGAGTTAAAAGGATGTTAATTTTCTTTATTGTTAAAAGTGGTGGCTGCTCATTAAAAAAAACAAACACACAAATGTCATATGTTGCTTAACGACAAGGATACATTCTAAGAAATGCATCGTTAGGTTATTTTGTTGTGCGAACATCACAGAGTGTACTTACACAAACCTAGATGGTATAGCCTACCACACACCAGGGCTATGTGATACGAATCTTATGGGATCACCATCGTGTATGTAGACCCTCGTTGACTGGAACATTAGGCGGTGCATGACTGCACTGCTCATATCCTAGGGTCACCCCTGTCAGTATTTAAAAATGGTATAGTTGCTTCCAGAGCTGCTGTGTATATACATATGTAGAAACTTCCTTTACCTAATTTAGAAGCCTGTGATTTGATTAATTTAGAAGTCGGTTTCTAATTGCACAAACGTTTAGCGTTTCTGTTTAATTTACAGAGGGTGGTTTTCCTGAAGCAGCTGGGCAGTGGCTTGCTGCTTGTCACTGGTAAGAAAATCTTGGATTTTCTATTCTCTGAAACTTAAAACGTTTTTAAATGCTTGTAGTGTACACCGTTGCTCACACCTACATGGAAACTTCAGTGCCATGAGATTCTGCACCCCATTTCATTGCCTTACGTACTCATGAGGTCTGAGGAAGCAGGTATTTGACATTTTGTGTGGCAACATGTCACCAAGTAACTGCCACTTAAAATGCAGAGTGGTTGGCTCCCAGCCCCCCAAGGAATGCGTCCTGCATAAGACCTGGAATTGGTGCACCAGGATGAAATTCTTGAAGAGGTGAAAAGTGAACTGTTTGCTCCAGAAAGCTGTGCTCAGTTTAATTTTGTCACCAGGGACTTGTGAGTTTGAGCAGCTTGTCTCCATGAGTAGGCTGTCTCCCAACCTTGGTGACTGGAGATTTGAGGGTGGAAAAACCTTGGACAAACTGAGATCTGGGAAGGGTCGATGCTGGCAGTAGGAAGAGCGCTTGGAAATTTCTTCAGATCCAGAGAGAAATTAGAAATTAAATCACCAAAGTCAGTTCTTAAATCTTTGCTTCCACTTTCCCTCACTAGTTTGATTTTTTTCCTTAGGACCCCTGGTCCTCAATAGAGTTCCTCTGCGTAGAACACACCAGAAATTTGTCATCGCCACCTCCACCAAAATTGATATCAGTGGTGTGAAAATCCCAAAACACCTCACTGACGCTTACTTCAAGAAGAAGCAGCTGCGTAAGCCCAGACACCAGGAAGGCGAGATCTTCGACACAGAGAAGGAGGTGAGCTTCTGCTTCCGTGTTCAACGCCAATAGCTCTGAATCCCTACTTGGGAGTGAAATTAAATAAGGTTGGGGCCGGCCCGGGGTTTGCCCGTTCAGATCCCGGGTGTGGACATGGCACTGCTTGGCAAGCCATGCTGTGGTAGGCATCTCACATAGAAAGTAGAGGAAGACGGGCATGGATGTTAGCTCAGGGCTAATTTTCCTCAAAAAAAAAAAAAAGAAAGAAGGTTAAGAGTTTAAATAAAAGTTGTAAATAACAAAGAATATCTGGGGAATAAGACTGTTCCGGATTCTGCTAAATTCGCTAGTTCTCTAATGGCAGCTGGGAGCTCAATTGAGCATCCCGAGGATTTGGTGGAACTCTGAATTATTGCCTCTGTTCTGTTTGGGAATCCTCCTACGTTCTTGATGTGTATTAAAGTAAACAAAAAGGAAAGCTCTTATTTTTATTATATTACGAACATCGTATTGCACAGTCCTCTATGGAAAGGATTACCAGAATTGCCTTCTGAATAGTCTGAGGATTGGGTCCTTGTGAGATAGGACTCCTTAGTTGATGGTGGAGTGTGGTATTTGTGCCGTACTTTTAAGTGCTTTTCTCTTTCTTTAGAAATACGAGGTTACAGAGCAGCGCAAAGTTGATCAGAAAGCTGTGGACTCACAAATTCTGCCAAAGATCAAAGCCGTTCCTCAGCTCCAGGGCTACCTCCGGTCCGTGTTTGCTCTCACAAATGGAGTTTATCCTCACAAATTGGTGTTCTAAATTTCTTGCAAAGAACCTGATTAAATAACTGATCCGTTTCCTGTGTGTCTTTTATTCTGCCCGCTTGGAGGTGGGCCAGCTTCGTGGTATTTAGCTCTCTGGAGTGGGATTGGAGGGCTGTGCTGTCAGCCGCGCTGGAAGCACCTCGGCCTCGGCCTCGGCTCAGCATTAACTTCCTTAGGGTCTGGTTTCTCGGCTTTTCACGCAGCACCTACCAACAGCTCTTAGCAGCTTTTCCCCAGTCAGTCCCTGAACAAGTCGGTACGAAACTACAGGGGTCAGAAACAACCAAGCAGCTGTTGGCTCTTGGGGCCACACACTTTGCTCCCTTTCGATGACAACATCCGTTCTTCCCAATCTGCCTAATTCTCACCCCCACCCCCATCATCACTGCTATCAGTTTCTTGTATGTCTAGTTTCTTAAAGCTTACAAGCAAATCTGACTATAGTTATTTTCTTTCCCCTTTTTTTAACCAAAACTTCATACACTGTACATACTATTACATAGATGAGAAGGTGTTAATAACCTCAAGTATGCATACAGATAAGCAAGTACTGGGGCCGGCCTGGTGGTCCAGTGAGTAAGTGCGCACATTCCACTTCAGCAGCCCAGAGTTCACCAGTTCGGATCCCAGATGTGGACATGGCACTGCTTGGCAAGCCATGCTGTGGTAGGCATCCCACATATAAAGTAGAGGAGGATGGGCACAGATGTTAGCTCAGGGCCAGTCTTCCTCAGCAAAAAGAGGATTGGCAGCAGTTAGCTGAGGGTAATCTTCCTCAAAAAAGTACCAGGTAAGAATCGTTTTTTGCAGAGTCAAAGGATTTACAAATTTTAATTTTGGTAGATGGTGCCAGGCTGCCCTTTATAGGGTTTGTACCAGTTTATATTCATACACGAGAGTGCCCATTACCCCACAGGTACCCTAAACAATGGGTTCTCAAATTCGGGTTTGGTGTGTAGTTCTGTGCAGTTAGGTAAGCTCCACCAGCGCCACATTCCTCCATGCTCCTAAGGTCCGCTCCCCTCCAGGCAACTGCTGGTCACATTTCTGTTCCTATTTTGCCTTTTTCAGAACGTCACAATATGCTTCTTAGCGTAATATTTTGTAGATTGTCCACGATGCAGTAATCCTTTTTCTCAGTTAGTATTCCATTCTATCAGTGTATCACTATCCTAAAATTGGCTCATTGAAAGACATTTGGGTTGTTTACAATATTGGAGATTATGAATAAAGCCACTGAAAACATTTGCATACACGTTTCTGTGTGCACGTATTTTCATTTCTCTTGGATGAGAAAATGTATAGTAGGATTGCTGGGTTATACGGTAAGTGCATGTTTAGCTTTTTAAGAAACTGCCAAACTTTTCCATTTTGCAGCCCACCAGCCATGTGACAATTCCAGTTATTCCACCTCCTCAGCACTTGGTATTTTCAGTTTTTTGGTTTTGAGATATAATTGACATATTAGTTTCAGGCATACAGCATAATGATTCAATACTTGTATATATTGCATAATGACCACAATAAATCTAGTTTAACATCCATCGTCATATGTAGTTAAAAAAAAATTTTTTTTAAAGATTTTATTTTTTCTTTTTCTGTCAAAGCCCCCCAGTACATAGTTGTGTATTTTAAAGATTTTATTTTTTCCTTTTTCTCCCCAAAGCCCCCTGGTACACGGTTGTATTTCTTTAGCTGTGGGTCCCTCCAGCTGTGGCATGTGGGATGCCGCCCCATATGGCCTGACAAGCAGTGCCATGTCCACGCCCAGGATCCGAACCAGTGAAACCCTGGGCCGCTGAAGCGGAGTGCACGAACTTAACCACTCAGCCGTGGGGCCGGCCTCTAGTTGTGTATTTTTAGTTGTGGGTTCTTCTAGTTGTGGTGTGTGGGACACTGCCTCAACGTGGCCTGACAAGTGGTGCCGTGTCCGCGCCCAGGATCCGAACCAGCGAAACCCTGGGCCGCCGAAGTGGAGCACATGAACTTAACCACTCGGTCATGAGGTGGGGCCCCAAATTTTTTTCTTGTGATGAGAACTTTTAAGATCTACTCTAATCCCACAACTAGAAGGACGTGCAACTAAGATATACAACTGTGTACAGGAGGGGTTGGGGGAAATAAAAGCAGAAAAAAAAAATCTACTCTCAGCAACTTTCAAATATGCGATACAGTATTATTAACTATAGCCATCGTGCTGTACATTAGACTCCAATGTTTTTTTTTAGTTCTAGCTGTTCCAATAGGAATATGTGGTAGGCTCTGATGCATTTTTGAAACAAATCCAAACATGTCACTTCTGGCTATGACCCTTTAGTGGCTTCTTAGGTTCAGTTCCAAAATGGTCATGGCCACGAGGCCCTCTGATTAGCCCCTTTCGCCAGCCTATTCTTCCACTCTGCCCCTCAACGTGTCAAGTTTCTTTTAATTCCTCAAACTGGGCTGTTTTTTCCTGCTTCAGAGCTCTTGCACGTGTGTGTGCTCTATCGGACTGCCCTTCCCGCCTTTCCACTCATCCCTCCCCACTGTGTGAATGGCCCCTACTGTGCTGGCTAAATACGATAGTAATTTAACTTCCCAAGGAGGGAGGGAACATCGCTCAGGCCAGTGCAAGCATCTGGTCCACTTGACAGATGTTATAATTGAATCGAGGTATTGTGGCTTATCAGTGTCTGAGCTTAGAGAGAGAGCTACCTTCAGTGTGTTGAAAAACAAGGATTTTGTTTTTCCTGCAGCTTCACACCAGTTCTCAGGTATAGGTGCAAGGATGTTCATTGCGGCACTAAAGGTTCCATCAGTAGAGAATGTTAGTTTACATCCATACACTGGAGTATAACGCAGTGTTGAGAAGAATGAAGTAGCTGCGTAAGGACTGTTAGGAAGAGACCTATGTGACGTGTCCAGTGGGAAAAGCGAGTTGGAGACATAACCAGATGCGATGTAAGGTCCTGGATTAGATCCCAATTTAGACAAACCAACAATAAGCGATATTTTGGAACAATTAGGGAAATTTGAATATGGACTGGCCACTAAGACGAAAACTTAAGTCAAAAAAGGTTACAAGATAAAATGCATAGTGTCTCATTTTGCTTAAAAACACGTTAAGTGATAGATTGTAAAAATGGCCACGAGAAATCTTCCTATCACTGTACATTAAGGCAGTGGCTCTCAGGTGTTTTTGGTCTCAGGGGCCCTTGATGGTCTAAAGTTATTAAAGATATGAACGAGATTTTCTTTATGTGGGTTATGTCCATTGATATTTACCATATTTAGACTAAGAAATTATTAAAGTATTTATTTGAAAAGGACAAACCATTCCCCGTTAATATAATGTTTTTGTGAAAAATATTTTCCCAAACAAAAATTTATGAGAAGAATGGCACTGTTTTACATTTTTGCGAATCTCTTGAGGTCTGGCTTAGCAGAAGACAGCGGGCTTCTCCTATTTGCTTCTCCGTTCAGTCTGTTGCAATGTCCCATCTCAGGTCCTACGGCCTCTGGAAACTCCATGCTACCCTCATGAGAGAAAGAGTGAAAAGACAATGTTTTAGTAGTAGCATGACATTGCTTTCACTTTTTGGATTCACTTTAAGGATCTCAGGAACACAAGGATCCCTGGGTCATACTCAGAACCACTGTGCCAGCCCCTTTGCAATGTTCTGGAAGTGGAATCCGTAACCCCACCTCTGAGATGCCTTCCTTTCCAGCCCGCCAGGTCGCTCCAGCTCTGGGGCATGTGCACAATGCTTAGGGCAGGCCTGCTCGACACTGACAGTGCTGGGAACTCCATGCCTGAGGTCCTACTTCCTTAGTGTTCCAGTGCTGACACTACCTGGAGTCAGCACAGACCCCGCAGGTTAAGGGCTCAGTCCCACAAGACTGCCTCCCTACTTCAGACACCAGTCACAAGTAGTGGATCCCCAGGTTACCCACAATTCTGTCTGATTTGGTTACAAATTGGGGGTTCCCATGATTCCTGCCTCAGGTTCGATAATTTGCTACGACAACTCACAGAACTCAGGGAAACATTTTACTTCTATTCACCAGTTTTTTATAAAGGATACAATTCAATGAGCCAGCCCCAGTGGCCTAGTGGTTAAGTTCAGCACGCTCCACTTCAGTGGCCCAGGTTTGGTTCCTGGGCACAGACTTACAAAACTCTGTTAGCAGTCACACTATGATGGCGGCCTACATACTGAAAAATAGGGGAAGACTGACATAGATGTTAGCTCAGGGCGAATCTTCCTCAGCAAAAAAAAAAAAAAGAAGAAGAAGAAGAAGAAAGGAAAAAAGGGATACAACTCAAGAAGAGCTGAAAATGGAAGAGATATATAGGACAATGTAAGGTGGGGTGGGGAGCACAGAGATCCCATGCCCTCACCCCATACACCACCCTCCCAGCACCTCAATATGTCTGCCAACCCAGAAGCCCATCAAATCTTCCTGTTCAAGAGTTTTTATAGAGCTTGACCTCCAGCCCCCACTCTCACTCTGACTTAAGTTTATGGTTAGGGCTGAACGTTCCAACCTTCTAATCACTTGGTCTTTCTGGTGACTAACCCCATCCTGAGGCTATCTGGGGGTCCCACCCCAAGTCACCTCATTGGCATAAACGCAGGTGTAATCGAAAGGAGCTCCTTATGAATAACAAAAGGCCCTCCCATCACTCAGGAGATTCCATGGGTTTTAGGAGCTCTGTGCCAGGAACTGGGGACAAAAACCAAATACATTTTTGTGTTACACCGCATTTCCCACCTCAAGATCTTTAACTTCATCACACCTGCCAAGTCCTTTTGCCATATAAAATAACACTCTCTGGGGCCGGGGATTGGGACAGAGACATACTCTGGGGTCATTACTCAGCCTACATCACCTCCCAAGCTCTGGCCACCAGGGTTTGGGGCAGGATCCTGCTCCCATCCAGGGCTCTAAGCGTTGAACAGAAGCGGGTGCTACTCTCCCACATGCAATTCAAAGTCAAAATAGTGTCAAAGTGCAAAATACGTGTGAGGAAAGGGAACGATGTTGTA